AGGCGGCGTGGGCGGGAGCCGGGAAGCTTGGGGCCCGTTCCTCTGCCCCGCCTGGCCCTGGCTCCGTGTGGAACACCGCGGGGCAGCTGTGACTGTGCTTTTCTTTTGGCATCCCTTCCGTTTCCCCGTCTGGATGTTCCAGTTTCCTCTCTGGTTTCACTTTTAGCCCCCTTACACAGTAATTTTTCCCCAGGTCTCTTTTGTGCTAACCCCTTTTGTGGGGACAAGGAGATGGCGTTTAGTTTTCTTGGGGAAAACAGCAGAAACACGAATGTAAGTAGGCATCTAGAGAAATGCAAGAGCAGAACAATCATATATGATACTGCCCGGTAGCATATTCCAGCCTCCTGGCATTTCTCAGTGGCCGTACTTTCTGAGCTGGAGGAGGCTTCTGTGCCTTTAGTAGTCTTTGGTTGTGTGTCCTCCACAAATGCGTCTTGTCTTGAAAGACTTTCAACCCTTACTTTGCAGAACATTCTTTGGGTGGGAGTGGTCCCAGTGAAGGTGGTGTGCGATGAACTTGTTCCTTTAGTCTGACTCACTGGGTTTGTTTGATAACTTCCCATTCCAGTATTAGAAAAGAAGGTGAATCAGCTCTCTATTCACCATGTTTGTGCACTTCACTAGCTTGTAGACCTCTGGCGTATTTCTGTTCTTTTTTCCCATACTGAGGCATCCTCAGCTTGCTTCTTTGTTACTTGTATGTGAGCCACTGCACATTTTTGGTCCTCCTTGTGGCTCTCCTCTGAATCTTTCCCAACTCTGTCTTAACCTTTTTTAGATGAGAGGACAAGAATTGCAGATAATGCCCAGTTTACAGGCAAAAAATTGTGACATATAAATGGTTTGGGTTGAAAGGGACCGCAGCGGGGGCGTCTTCCACTACATCAGCTGGCACACAGAAGTGATGGGTTATACTTTTCTGCAATAGGTACACAAAAATAAGTGGAATGCGTGTTGTCTGAACAAGAGTTTAAAAAAAAATCTACTGGGGACATAAGGAACTAGAAAACAATGTTAGGCGAAAAATTGTGTGCTGGATAGAGAGGTTCTAGAGGCTGTCATCACTGCAAAATTCTAGGTAGTTTTTAGTTGTCACCTCATTTGACTTTCGTTTCACCCCATTTAAAGGATTCATAGAAGTGAAAACAAGATTTTTCCTGAGGCAGCTGCAGACAAAACACAAATAGAATACTTGGATTTTTTTTTTTTGTTGCTTGAGGGGGAGAATCCGTTGAGGAGTCTTCAAAACAAAGGTGAAGATCATTTGCTGACTGAGATGTAGTTGTTTCAGAATTAGAAATTTAATTTCTTCTTTCTTTGGGACTTACCGTCCACTGTTCCTAACTAGACTTTGTGCTAGCCTTCTAATATGGGTCACTTATCTGCCAGAAAAGCAAAGGAACTGCCCATTCCTGCAGTGTTCTCATTGCTGCTGCTTTGGTTGTAGGTCGAATGAGAAAGACAGCCAGTTGTCTTTCCTAGCACATATCTGCCCGTTCTGGTGACCTAGGGTTTTTTTTCTCTCCCATTTTATTTCATGTGGTACAAATGATTTTGAGTCATGGGGCACTTGGTGTTTGCTTTGTTGATTAACTTCATATACATGCCATGAAGAGATACTAGTGTATATTTCATTTTGGATTAAAATAATGATAAATGTGATACTGGATGCTTAAACATTGTTTTGTTTAAGATTTTTCCAGTTCTAGTCTTGTTTAAGAAGGTAGACATTTTCTTTCCGTTAAAAATGTCCTTGAGATCTTGGTTTGCTCAAGATAATTTACAAATTGGTTTGAAAATCTTGTTAAAACACAAATACAGGCTGACATCACTTTTATAGTTTGCTTATATTACTACATCTAGTTTCGATCTCTTTAGTAGTTGGGACTTAAAAGTATACTGATTTAGACTTGAAATAATGTACAACCAGAGTAATTAAAAGCTTTGTTGTGGGATGTGTGTGTGAAGATTGACACTTCAAATTTGAAGCTGAATGCCTATATGGAAGAGCTGGCTTAAGTCCAGAGGAAATCAGTGGCTACGAAGTTCCAAGCAATGTTGGGTAGTAGGTCAAATGGGAGACCTAAAAATTCTGGAGCATGAGTTCCAGTTAAACCTTTTCATCATACTTCTAAAATGGCATTAATGTTGTGGGATGTTATTTTTAGTACAGTAATTATACCGGACTTTCTGTAATGAGTCTTTTTGTATGGAGACTTGCACTCTGTGAATTAACCTTTTCGCTGCTCAGACTGTAAAGTAAATGGACCTGGGATTCAAACTCCTGTTGTTTACAGAAAACTCACCAGAACAAGAAGCCCTCAGTCTTGTGATGTGTTCTACGTGGCCTACCAGCCTGGGCTTTTTAATTATGTTAGACTACACAGTCATAAATCTGCTTAGTTCCAGTAGATCTGGATGCAGGAAAAAAAAGTGATACTATATTTTATAAAAGCTTTCACCATATGAAAATTAGGCAGCTCAATTTAAAAGTGATGGACTAGTCCTGTTTTTGTAGTAGTGTACCTGCTACTGAACCATAGCAGGTTAAAACAGTGTCCCCATCAACTTACCTAAACTCCTGCTTGCCTTCATGTAATATGTTCACAATGGAATAAACCAGTTAGCTCCCAGTTTGGGTTCTGGTGATCCCAGAGTATAACCTGAAGGGAAAACAATTGGATTTTCTAAGGAGTAACACGGGAATCAATTTCTGTATTGGTGTGTTGGTATTTTAGTTATGCCCCTGGTGTACTTCAGTTGAGTCTTTTTGTCAAGTGTATCTGCTGTGGGATTGACTGGGTAGCAATAACTGGCTGTTACCTGCTGCTGTGTGGATTTCTCAGTGTGTGATTTTAGGTATTCTGTTATAATAACTTTAAAAAAATGTCTTCAGGGGCAGCAGACCTGCGACAGAGAAAGAAGCCAAACTGCACAGAATCTGACAAAATGGCTCCGGAGGAGAGAAACAAAGAAAACTCAAAGCTGGGAAGGTCGCCAAAATGTAAGCTACAGAATTTTTAGCCAACTTCCGTTTTACTGTTTTTTCATTATGCTTTTACATTTTATGGGAATATTATTTGTAGCATAGTAATTTATAACAGACTTATTTTGACTTAGGTTTTTGAATGTTATAAGGAAAAACAGGCATGCACATTAGAATTCTTTAATAATAACGTTTTACCTATTACTGAGTAAAATGGTAGTCCTGGATTGTTTCAGGTTGTGGGGGAGAGGAAAGGGGAGAGGCAGAGGGGTTAAAAATCTTACTGTTGTTATTATTTGAGTACAAATAAATCGTGCCTGGAGTGATCTTTCAGTTGGGAAGCTGAAAGGCATGAAGTGATGGCATTGAAACATGAAGACAAAAAGTCCTTAGAGCTTTTCTAAAAACAGGACTAAAACCAGGTGTAATTTTAAACAAGGGCTCACCAAGCTACAAAAAACTTCTATGTTAAGTGCATACTATCTTCAGCATACTATCTTCAGGGAGCTACAGGTGACACAGACACACATTGAATGAGTTTGGTAAAATTCACATTACTTCGTTCTCTTATATTTAAAAACAATGGAGAACAGAATGTCTTGATGTCAATGGTAGATTTGGTATTGCCACTTCTTTCTCTTAATATCTTTAAGAAGTTTGTGGTGTTTGGGGTAAAATCTAAAGTTCAGTCTTTTTATTTAGAGGATCCTTTTCCTTCTTGGAATTCCTTCTTGGTAATGAACCTTACTAGAATGGAGAAGAATTTGCAGTGTAGTGTCCGGAGTCTTTTATCTGAGAGTCCTAGGAGCTAGTGGTAACAACTGGTGAAGAAAATTGCAGGACAGGAATAACAAACCAGTTCTTGATGTGTCTCTGCTGCTGGTGGTGTGATAATTCTGATGCTGGCAAGTTTACTTGCCATTCAGAAGCGAGTCATAGGTAGGACATAGTTTTTTGTTTTCTAAATCCTCTGAACTCTTTTGGCTTTTTCTCTGTCCCTTTTCAGATCTATTAATTCAGCGTTGTGCAAAACTGTTCTTTGGCTGTCTTGCGGCAGTCACGAGTGGAATGATGTATGCTGTCTACCTTTCCACGTATCATGAACGGAAATTCTGGTTTTCCAGCAGGCAGGTAAAGAAAAAGTTAAACTACTGAAACAAAAGCCAAATTGTGTCCTTGAAATCAAAGCTGACCCATGTCAGGTTGGAACTGCTTGCTTGCAGAATCCTGTGTCCTCCTACTGAGGCCTCTGTCTTTGATATAAACTCTTTTTTGGTTTTCTTTCTTTTGTTCTTTCTATGTTTTTCAAAAGGGTTTCTCCTACTCTGAGTAGCCTTGTTGTGTTATGCTTTTGTAGGCTTTACCGTGCTATCCTTTATCATTGAAATACCTCTCTAAAATTTGGAGGAAAAAATGAAGCATACTGGGATTGCATATGCTGAACAACAGGAATTTTTGTTTTTGATGTTGTTTTTTTTGGTTTTGTTTTTTAGAACTATTATTTTGTTAAGTATGTAAAGCTAAATGAAATTCAAGTTTGTGAATATGAAAAGATCCTGTGGATCTTGTGCTGACTTATGATGTGGGCTTGAATTGCTCTGGTTCTGAGCATGTTTGCTAAGTTACAGAGAGCGTTACATACCTGACAGAGTTGCTGTGAAGATTAATGTTTCGTGGAATACTTTTAAGATGTACAGTGGAGTCATAACCATCTGTTCTATTACAAAACCAGTCTATCTGAAAATATATAGTCTATGGGAAGAGATTGCTAGAGGTGATTTTTTTTTTTCTAGGAACTTGAACGAGAAATTACATTTCAAGGTGACAGCGCTGTTTATTACTCATTCTATAAAGAACTGCTCAAGGCTCCTTCCTTTGAAAGAGGTACAAAACCCATTTTTTTTATTAAGCTTGAAAAGTCCTCTTCCTTTTGGAGACAGTGGAAAAACTCCTGCAGAAAACTGCATGCTGTCCTAACTTTTCAGTGCCTTTTAAACAATATCTAACCATTCTTTATTCCAGTGGATTGCCTTTAAGCAGTGCTCTGCAATAGGATTAGTATTGCTCCCATATTGCACTGTATGTGAGTTCACTTTGGGTTTGCCTACACTACACTGTGTTTTCTGCCATGTATGCATAATTTGTGTTTAGTGAGGGAATGGGGGATGGAAGTTACTGTTTTCCATTCTCTGTCATGAGATGGAACAGTTTCTGTCAAGTTATCTGCTCCATCCCAGTTTCTACTCCTGTCGGCTATGATGAATAGATGTTGTTGAGCATTGAGTGCTGGGGACAGAAAGCAACAGGAAGGAGAGCAAACTGGGTGGTAGTGGTCTCTCCTTCATTTGTGCTCCTGCTCTTCATCCTGCACTGGCTCTGGAGCTCATGGACCCTAGGTCCCTAAACCAGCAGAAACTAAAGCAACAAAAAGAAGATGGACACTTCCATGCTAGTTTAGTGAGTTCAGAACGGCACCTGGGCCAGCGTGGGGAAAAGGCAAGAGCTCCAGGAGAGAAGTGGAAAGCCCTGTCTTGCAGCAGTCAGCCACTCGATTAGTTCAGTCCTCTTGTGAAGCTTCATCCAGCACCAGTTAAGCTTTATACATATAGTTATATTGGTGGCTTTCTCAGCTGATGTGTAGCATGCCAGGAATAGGTCTTTGGTACAGTTGCTTCCTCATTATTCTGGGGAGATGGTCTGTGCTGTAGCCACTGGACTGACTCATTCAGGCATGTGGCTGGTGCAAACAGGTGTCTGCTAGGTATCATGGGACACACAGTTTTCAAAGGTGTATGACAGCTGTGTTGAACCCAGTTAAAAGTCTTGCAAGACCTGGTCTGGCCTGCGGAGAACCAGCTGCAGACCACACACCAAGATATGCCCAGAGCTGGAAACAGTTATCTTGTTAGGCTGTTGTATTGTTGTTGGGGTTTTTGGTTTATTTGTGGTTTGTTTTTTGTTTTTTTTTTTTCCCTATCTGCTTTTTGATTATTTCTCCTCTTTCCTCTATTGTCCTAAGCAATAACAAGTCTCTTCTTTAACTGTAGTATCTCACAATGATGTATCCTTCAAGTATTCCAGTTTCATCACAATTCCATACACAGGCGTATTGTGTTAAGCGAGTGATTCTTAGAAGTCTCAGAAATGTGGGACTGGAAAGCATGATGAGACCATCAGATCTGACCTTTCTGTGGAGACAGTTTAATACATCCTGCTCATCCCTGTTAGATTGTTGCTTCATTCTTTAAGAACCTCTTGTGAAGGTGATCTGTAGGTGGCTGGTTCCAGGGCTGCAGCAGTTACATTACTGAAAAGACTGGGCTTCAGCTGGTTAGTTTTGGGCCTTCTACTTAAAGAGTAAATAAAAAAACAGTAATAACTTTGTTGTTAAATCAGTAAGGTCAAATGGCATCTGTCACAGAAATTTCTCTTTCCTTTAAAATTAGGAGTAGTGAATCAGATGGTAGCTTTAATGGTCAAATATGTTTCCCCCTACATTTCAGTGCACTTTCAGCTCTTTTAAGAACAGCAGTAGTAAGTGATTCCATTAATCATTTGTTGTTGTTGTATAGGTGTTTATGAGTTGACACACAACAATAAGACAATATCACTGAAGACAATAAACGCAGTCCAGCAAATGACCTTGTACCCCGAGCTGATTGCCAGTGTTCTGTATCAAGCGTCTGGTAGCGAAGTAGGTGCACTTCTGCTTCCTCTGCTTTCATTGTATGTGTGTGGGGGGGTGTCTGTCTAGGAGACTTTCTATGCTGTATGCAATAAACACATGCAATTTTTGTTGAGTGGATTGAGCTAAGTCTCTCACCAGGTCCATGGTTTTCTCAGTTCTGATCAGTCTCTGGTGTAAGACTTGGGGGGTTTATATGCACTGAACTTCTCTGTCTGTTATTCTTTGCTTCTACAAATGGCTTAGAAACGTGGAAAGTAGCTGTGCAAGCCATTAAAACCAGGGAAGTTGTCTCCTTCCGAGTACAGAAGTCTGTTATAGTGGTACCTGTCTCTACTCATTCCCATACAGATGAAAGGGAGAAACACTTTGTATATAAACCTTTTGTCTCTTTCTGCTCTGCTCAGGCATTGTTCTGCTTATGCTGCCTACTTGTGTATACCTCATTTATCTTTTTTATTTTGGTTTGTTTATTTATTTATTTAGGAACAGGGGTTTTTTTTTGCCACGTCTTTGCTTCTCCAAGTTCCTCCCCTACATGACTTCTTCCAGTAGTCCTGTGAACTCTCTGTCTCACTGGAGTGTAGTTTTATTGAATCTGACACATTCAATGTTCATGCTGAAGCAAATACAAAAATGATGGCACTGGAAACCTGAGTCCTGAAGTGTGCTCTTAATTACACTGATTTGTTCTCCCTGAGCCCAAAATAAAAGCATGCTCAAACTTCTCTAGAGTAGGGGTCATCTCTTACCTGTTTGTAAAGCACCTAGCACACTGTTAGCAGTATGCAATTAGTAAGTAGTAATCGTTTGCAGCTTCAGCTCAGTTGCCGCTATGTCTCTTCGTTTTTATTTGTAATTTCAGGAAGTTATTGAACCAGTGTATTTCTACATTGGTATAGTTTTTGGACTGCAGGGAATTTATGTGACTGCATTGTTTGTAACCAGTTGGGTTATGAGTGGGACTTGGCTGGCAGGGATGCTGG